TGATTAATGGCCCAGCTCCCAATGCAGGGGGCCTGGGTTCAATCCCTGGTCAGGGAACTAGAACTGCACATGCTGCAACCAAAGATCCCACATGCATGCCGCAACAGAAGATTGAAGACCTTAAATAAATAAAATTTTTTTAAAAAATGTAAAAAGAAAAAAATCCTGTCGGCTCTATCAATCCTGTTAATAAACCACTACTTCACTGCTGCACCTTGCTCCGAGCCATGGTCATTCCTCACTTGAATTACCTTAAAAGCCTCCTCAGGGTATCCAGATTTTTGCTCCTGCTTTGCCCTTTCACTCTATTCATTTTTTAAAATAATTATAAAATAATTCCTGTATTTATTTATTTGGCTGTTCCGGGTCTTAGTTGCCGCTCTTAAGATCTTTAGTTGCTTGAACACTTAGTTGTGGCATGTGGGATCTAGTTCCCCGACCAGGGATCAAAGCCCGGTCCCCTGCATTGGGAGCTCAGAGTCTCAGCCACTGGACCCCCAGGGAAATCCCTCTCACTTTACCAGCAATCTGGCAACCAGTCAGATTGAGTCACTATAGTGGCTCCCCGCCTTGCTTCAAGGAAAAGTCAAAGCAGCGGCCCACCAGCTCTGGCTCCACATCACCTTTGACAAAACTAGACATTGTATTAAAGAGCAGAGACATTACTTGGCCGACAAAGGTCCATATAGTCAAAGTTATGGTTTTTACAGTAGTCATGTATGGATGTGAGAATTGGATGACAAAGAAGGCTGATCACTGAAGAACTGATGCTTTTTGGTGTTGGAGAAGACTCTTGAGAGTCCCTTGGACAGCAAGGAGATCAAACCTGTCAATCTTAAAGGAAACCAGTCCTGAATATTCATTGGAAGGACTGATGCTGAAGCTGAAGGTCCAATGCTTTGGCCACCTGATGTGAAGAGCCAATTCATTGGAAAAAGACTCTCATGCTGGGAAAGACTGGAGGCAAAAGGAAAAGGTGGCTGCATAGGATTAGATGTTTAGATAGAATCACCGACTCAAAGGACATGAATTTGAGCAAACTCCCGGAGATAGTGGAGGACAGAAGAGCCTGTATGCTGCAGTCCATGGGATTGCAAAGAGTCAGACATGACTTAGCAACTGAACAACAACCACCTCCTACTCACCCTCATGCTCACTCTGCATCAGTCTCACTGGCCTCCTTGTTCTTCAAACAGCCAGGCCGGCTCCTGCCTCAGGGCTTTTGTACCCTCTGTGCAGAATGCTCTTACCCCAGATAGCTGCAGAACTCCTTCCCTCCCCTTCTTCAAGTCTTAGCTCTGAGATCACCTTCTCACTGAGGCCTGCACTGAGCACCTAATACTGCAACTTGTTTTCTATCCCCTCACCTCACCTCTGCAACCCTGATTCCCCTTAGCTGACTCTAGGTGGGGTTTTTTTGGCACTTAATATTAACAATATTAACTAGTATGTTTGTTGTCTGTCTTTCCCCAGTGGAGATGTAAATTCCCCAAAGGTGAAGATCTTTGACTATTTTGTTCACTGATACACCTGAAGAGCTTAGAACTGTGCCTTTCACATATTAGGTGCTCCAAAGAGATTTGTGAATGAGTGAATTTGCAGATTAGAGAGCAGTAAATGTGTGGCAATAATTAATCTTTGAGGAGGTTAGGTGGGTTCAGGGATATGAGAAGATGATATGTGAACTGGATCTTGAGGTATCAATACATCCTGAATTCCAGATGACATAGGTGATGGGCAATTGATCAGCCTGAACTGACTGGCAATTGATCAGAATGAAGGTGAGAGAGCTTGGTGGCAGGGCACAAATTGCAGGGAGGTGTCAACCAGTGATATGTAATTAGAGAGGATATTCACAAGGTAAGTTGAGGTCAGATTGTATAAAGTTTTCTTTTACTTTCTTTTGGCTGTGCCACCTGGCATGTGAAAACTTAGTTCCCCATCCAGGGATCAAACCCCCATCCACTGCAGTGGAAGCACAGTCTTAACCACTGGACCACCAGGGAAGTCCTGGGCAAAGTTCTCAATGCAAAGTCTTTTCAGTAAAGTCTTTTTCTACTGCCAGGACCAGCTACAAAATCTGTTGGGCCCAGGGCAATTTGAAAATGCAGGGGCCCCTTGGTAAAAATTTCAAGAGGGGTCACAGTAGAGCATTATATCAAGCTTCAAGCTTAAGGCCCTTCTAAGAGTGACTTTGTGAGACTGCACAGGTCAGAGGCCCACAAAGTCAGCCTGCCTAGCCCTCGAGGGAGCTGCTGAGAGCCTTCTAGCAGTAGAGATGTAATTGGAGCTGGACTTCAGGAAGATTAATCTGGCTTGTCTGGTGGGGCAGGTTGGAGGGAGTCTAGGCAGGGAGACCGGTTAGGCAGCCTTGTGAGGAAGAGGAGAGAGTGTAGGATGGGGGCAGGGGCCAAGGGGTGGAATACAGGGATGAGAACTCGAGGGGAGTGGAAGCATGCAAGAGGCAGAGTGAGTTGAGTCAAGTCTCCTTGGACAGGGGCCAGGGAAGCCCGCTGAGTGCAGCTTCATTGCTTCTCCAGCCCTTTCCCCTTTTTCCTTATCGCAGGGACCCCAGCCTTGGAGGTTATCTCTTGCACAGGAATCAGCGGTGAGTCTCCCTTTGGCCACCAGAGGGCAGATCGTTCTCATGGATTTTCCGGATGAATTTGGGGTGGGGGTGTGTCCTCTGACTTCACCTTTTCCTCTTTTTCCCTCTCACCTCCTTCTGTGTTCCTTCATCAGCTTCTACCTCAAGGGCTGGGTGTCTGAATGGAGCTGAGGTGGAGCATGAAGAGGTGTCCTGGAGTCCCATGCATTTATTAGGACTGTAAGTCATACTTGTTGCCTTAGGAAGTACGTTCATACCATCCTCTCATTGCTGTCTGGCTGCCTATTTCTCTGGTTGACTTAGCCAAGAGTTCCACTCAAAATGCTGGAGCTGGAGTTGGAAGTCAAGTGTCACAGGTCCAATCAGCACTCTCTCCCTGCAAGCTCTTGGGCCTCTTTTTTCCTGTACCTTCTGCGGACTTGCTGCTTGATCTTGGTCTGTGGCTCTTGCGGGGATTCTGGCTTCTGTCTACTTTAAACTGCTGTTGAACCTAGGGTAGGTTTGGGGGGATGGTTTTCCAAAATGTCTGGGGTTACAATGGGTGGGGGCAGCCAGAGAAGTCAGACCCGCCAGTCTACTCACTGTCCTTGGTGAGATAGTCTAGGGGGAAGTGAAGAGTGAACTTGGGTTGCCTCATGGACTTCCTGTTAAGGGAAGGGGCTCTCCAGAGATGAGAGGGACCTCAAGCTTATGAATAGTGACCTCTATTCATTAAAAGGAAAACAGGCCCAGGAAGGAAAGGAACATCTCCAGTTGTTGATTCTTTGTGCCATCCTGAAGAATCCTCATTTTCAACCAGTTTCTCTCTTTTATTTTCCCCATGAGTTTCCTTGTCTTAGAAGGGATAAGTGAAATGTGATTTAAGATGAGACTGTCTCTCCTGCCCAACCTCAAAGGGATATTTTTAAAGGGAACTGGCATGACTCAATATTGCCATAGTGCAATGCCGTTTCGTGCTATTCTGAACAATTAGAAGACTTTCTTTTTGAAAGCAAAGAATAAAAAAGGTAACAAATCCAAAGATATTATTTAGAATGTCATCACTGGAACAAAGGCATGGATTCTTTCAAGATAGGGACGTTGAGGAGCTAAACAGAGATATGTGATTTTTTTCCTCAAGATCCCATTTCATTTTCGCTGCAAAGAGCTGGAGGTAGAATGCAGGGCTGAGGGAATATCTGAAGCCTTTGGCAGCTGGAAGCCAAGGACGTTTACCTGGTGTTTGACAGGGACCTTGAGGAGCCCTGTGGATTAGATGTGGGGTACACGGATAGACAAATAAAAGCCAAGATGGACGACAACAGGTGATGAACGGGAGGTAGACAGGTAATAGACTAACGCTGCATCTGACAGGTGACTCACATGTTGATAGATAGGCTGGATGATAAAGGAGATGTATTTAATGAGCTGACTAACAGGAACGGACACTCAGATAAGAAGTTGCTTTAGAACCAAAGGATGTCAATAGCAGGGCTTAACAGTTTTATTCTCTACTTAGTCAAATAGTAACACGCACACGTGATCTACGCTCCCTGTTCAAGATTTGCAAATACCCGAAAACTGACGGAAAGAAACGAAGAGTCAGACTTTGGGTACCATCCGAGAGAATGACCCGAGGCTCGCCCGATCGCGGGTGTTGCCGGAAATGGCCGACGACCGCCGTTCGCTGCGGGGCGGGATGGGGGCGTGGCCCGCTCCCAGAGCGCGGAGCTGCTTCGGGTGTTTCCGGAAACTGCCGAAAGCCAGCTTGAAGGGGGCGGGGAAAGGCCTGTAGGCGTGGCTGGAGTACCCGGAGCCTCTTCGTACATTTCCGTAAACAGAGTCGAAGCTTGGTCTTCGGAATCGAGGAGCCGCGCGCGTCCCCAGGATTACCTTCTTCGGGTGTTTCCGGAATTCACCAGTAGTCGGTGGCTGGGAGGAGAAGGCGCGCCTCCCTCCCGTTTCTAGCCGCTTCGGATGTTTCCGGCTGCTGCCGGCGGAAAGAGCCGAGGACCGGCGGTGGTGGCGGCCATGTTGGGAGCAGCAGGTCCGGCGGCGGCTGCCTGTGTGCCGGGCGCGGAGCAGTGCCGCTGAGGGCAGGGGAGGAGCGAGGCAGGCGGCCGGCTGCGGCGGCAGAGAGTAGGCGGAGCGGCGCGGCCCGGCCGAAAGGCGGCACGGCCCAGCCGGGGGTCGGGGGGGTGCGGTCCGGAGCTGCTCGGAGCCGGCGCGGCCTAGCCCGAGCGGCGCATCCCCGGGCTGGCGTGAACGGCAGCCCGGCCTCCCCGCACCCCCGGCCGGGGCCCATGCGGCGGGTGCTCCTGCTGTGAGAAGCCCCGCCCGGCCGGGCTCCGCGCCTTCCCTTCCCTCCCTTCCTCCACGCTTCTCGGTTTCCCTCCCTTGAGATACCGGCGCCATGTCCAGCGCTCGGACCCCCCTTCCCACGCTGAACGAGAGGGACACCGAGCAGGTAAGGAGCCCTGAGGGCTCCCCACATTCTTTGGCTGGGCCCCTGCACCTTGCAGAGCCTCCTCCCTCCTCAGCTCCCCTCGTGCCCCGGCTGCCATCCCGTAAGCCTCGGCTGCCCTGTCATCTGGCTCCTGGCCCCGTACACCTCCCTTCCGAGTCCTGTCCGGGGACCCACCTCGTCCGGACTCCAAGCTGCACACTCGTCTTTCTGCCGACCACCCCCCCACCTCCCCCCGGCCCGTCTCCCTTCACCGCCCTCCTGCGCTCTTCCGTGTTAACCTCCCCAGCTTCCTCTTCTCTTCCCTTTCTCTCTCAGGGGCCTTTTTGGTCTTTCTCCACCCACGCTGAAAGCAGCCACCTTCCTGCTCCTCGACTAGCACCCTGCCATTTGCCCCAGATCGTTGTCCACCTCTTCCTCCATCCCTCCAGCCTGGCTTCCCCTCCGCCCGCACCGGTTCTCCCAGTCCCAGTTATCACCCTCAGGGTCCTTGCCCCGGACTGTGACCTCCATCCTTGTCCCCTGTCAGTTCCCCGGCTTTTTACCCTGCCTCCTCCTGTTCCACATTGTGCTCGCCCTCTTGCTTGCAACCCACCAGCTCCACCCTCATCACCTTTCCAAATCGCTCGCCTACTCTTTGCTCATCACTTTCCCTTCTCTTCTCCAGGAGCTCCCTGGTGCCTCGCGCTGGCATTTGTTGCTTCCGTGTTTCCCCGTGCAGCTGTCATGCGCAGAGTTTTCCCACAGGTTGTCTTTGGGGTTCCAGTCTTTACTCCCTTCAGAGTCCTGAAATCCCTCACGTTCTCTTCCTCTGGGGCTTGTTTTTCTAAGTTTTGGTTTGGCCTCCTGTTTCTCACTGCGAGTGCCTTACACAGCCTCCCCAGGCTCTTCCTGCGGAGGGAAAGACTCACTATTTCAGCCCTGCTCCATGAACACCACCTGTTGCTCGGTCCTTTCCCAGGCCTTGCTTCATCCTGGTCCTTCCCTTTCTGTCTTCTTACACCGCAACACAAGCCAAGCAGTGATGCTTTCCTGTTTCTTCACTCAGGAATCTGTCACTTAGTATCTTCCCCTTTGCTTGTTGCCTTCCCGTTTCTCTGCCCTCACCCCATCTTACTTAGTACCAGTCCTCTTCATCAGGATTGCCTTTCATCTCCATATTCTTCTCCAGCCTTCTTCACATCATGTTTATTTCCCCCACGTATGCCCCCGTCCATCCCCTTGTGATTGGCTAGCCTTTGTGACTCTCCAGAGCAGGAATTTTGCATGCTAGTTTCTTGAGCTGCTGCTCCCTGTCTCCTCATCCTGGCAATCACTGCTATCATTTGTCACCCAAGCCTTAGCCTTTTCTGTGTCATCTCACCTCTCGGCCGAGAGGCGTCCACTTTCCACCGCTCCCCTTTCTTTCACCGTCTCTGGTGTCCCTTACTGCCTACTCTGGAGAGTCCCCTTCTTGTCACCTGGTGGAGAACTTTACTAGGCAAAAAAAAAAAAAAAACCTCAACTTGAAAAAAGAGCTCTTCACCCATGGGGCTTGCAGTGCTTTTTTGCATTCTTTTCTCTTGTTACATTCATTATGTTTTCCTCTTGTTCCCTTCTTTCTGGCTAGCGCAATAGAACCATTGTTATATTCTCTTGCATATTAACGGCTCTTGCATCTTAACATTTAACATCTTAAAAAAAAAATCTTCCCTCTTTTCATTTTCCCAATGTTTTTCTCTTTTGTTAGCCCCTCAGTCTCTGTCATCTGCACAGTCAGAAACTCAAGAGGAGTTCTGGATAAGTTTTTTCTGCAGTGGTTGACCCTTTCATAACCTGTGAATTGACTGACTGCTTCTAGGGGGTGAAACCGGTTGAGAGGGAGAGATGGTTGGGTTCCATTTTAGCAGTGGGTTTGGCATGGGACTGAGGTCTTTAGAAACAGGAGCTTGGTCTCCATCTCTGCCCTCAAATGCCAGCTGTTTCTTTCCTTCCTGGGAACCACTTTCTCAAGGCCCTCTCTCCTGTTCCATTGCTTTTCCCATCACAACCTTTATTTAGCAGGTGAACCCTGCTTAACCAGAGGACTTTCCCAGACTGTTGATTCTGAGCTGGTAGGAGGCGGCTAAGTGACTGACGGGCACCCTCAGGCATCTGGGGCGTGGCGGTGGAGTGCCTGCTCCCTCAGCAAGGCCGTGGGGGCGTTGTGTTCAGCAGAGCAGAGTAGCTGAGGGCCTCAGTGTGGTTTCTCTGTGCTCTTTACTCAGTGTACATGTATTCTTGCCATGGTCTTTTCCTTGTGATGTGTGCATCGATGTCCTCTCTTCCCCTCAAGCCTCACACACACCTTGAGCATGCTGTAGGAACCTGGTGCTCGCCTCCCACCGATTTTATGATAGCCGAGCTCTGTGCACCTTTTGGGAATGTAAGCCGCTTCCTGATAACTTTGTCCAGAGAACTGGCTGCATGCATTGTCATCTCGTTCCAAATTGTGAATTACTCATCCTGTCCCCACTCTGGGTTTAGGGTCCCCCGAGCCACTGCATCGCTTCTGCTGCTACCCTTAGGGTAGCCCCGCTGTGGACTTGCTATTAAGTCTTATCCTGGAAAAGCATAGATTCTGAAAAACCTTACAAGCAGATGTGGTATTTTGTAAAACAAGAAAAAAAAAAAGCAACAACTCTTCGGGTCATCAGGCCAGAGAGGCCTGAAGCTCTGGCCTCTTTTGACTAGATCATGCTACCAGGTGAGACCAGAGAGCTCTTCTTGGTCGTGTTGTGAGTCTAACTAAAGTGGTTGTGGTAGAAGCCTTAATATTGTGAGATAAAAAGCAAGCGATGTGGTTGGGTTGGTTTCTTTCCCCCAAAGGTCCTCTGTTACCTTACTTAGATTTAAATTATTTAAATTGGTTTCACTGAAAAACAGGTAAACAGACTCTACTGGTTGTCTTCAAACTCCAGTCTCTTCTCGCTCTTTCCCCCTTTCTTTAAAACATGTGGCTGATGAGAACCTGTTTCTAGGAGCTCTTTGATCACATCTGAATTAAACACACATAGACAGAGAGAGAGAAAATGTTGAAGTGTAAAAATAAACCTAGTGATGCAGAGACATTGCCTGTTTGCTGTCGACTCTGCTTCTAACAGTGAAAGGAGGAGATAAAAGAAAGTTAAGCCCTGCCGTTATTGTGATTTTTGTGGCACTGGATTGCAGATATGCTTTTTCACAGTCATAGACTTCTTTTTGCAGAAGGAGGGTTGTAACCTGGGACTGGTCGTTTGGGGCATTCTTAATCTGTGAGCTGAGCTTTCTGTTCACTTTTCCAAATGGCTCTGTTGGCCTGGAGGCTTGGCAGCGGTGGAAGCAATCAGCAGGATGACTGTTTGTCTTCCAGCCAGCAGCAGCAGAAACAGGCAAGTGCAGAGGGGTCCAGCGTGCAGTGTCCACCTGCCGCTGGCGAGCGCCCTCTGTAATACCTGGTGGAGGCCTTCATGGCTCCAGGCCTGCCCCACCTCTGGGCCTCAGGAACCAAAAAGGAGGGTTCCTGCGAGAAAGAAGGAGGCTTTCACTGCCAGCCCTGCCTCTGCCCCTGCCCCTCTGCGGTGGGTGAGGGTGGGGGCTTCTGTCGTCCTTTCGGGGGGGCATTGTTTATTCTCTCAGATGATTCTGGGAAGAGGAGTTTGGAAGTCTGGGTGAGAGAGCAAATCTAACTTTCAGGATCCTATAAAGAATCACTGAGCCACTCCAAACACACATAGCTGGCTCATGGCTCCCAGGGTTGATTCTGGCTGAATGTTTCACTGGGTAATCTGGTTTTAGTGTTGTCTCGGGGAGAGCTTGGTTCTCTCTCGTTTCACTCCCTGTCCTGCAAGCTGTGCGGCAAGACCCGTGTCTGGGTGCGGGCTCTGACCTCTGCCCTTTGACTCTGGCAGGGGCCCTTGGTGGTGCTGCCTTCTGGTTAGAGGTGTGGGTGAATTTCAGGTCATATAGTCTTTACTTTCTGCTTTACCCCTGAAGTGAGGGAACAGGCATGGTTAGAGCAAGGACACTAGTAGACCCTGGAGTTCATGGAGTTGCCATACTACAGCCTTTGAGCCTGGTAAAGGTAACTACCTAGTAAATTGTAATAATTCCTCTCCAGTCTGTGGACTTTGGGAAACAGCTCAGAAGATGGATACAAGGCAGTCATTGAGATTTGGCCTGCTTCACATTACATGGTGACTGAAGATTGGGCCTGATTTTTTTTTTTCCCCCAGCATAAATGTCTTAAACAGAGTTGGTGCTTGTGAGGTAGGGAGAGACTGAGAATTTGTTTTCTGAGAGGTCTGCATGGTTAGAGGTCTTGGGAGTCAAAAACTTCTCAGACTATACTGCTTCCCCTTTGGACAGAACAACCTAATTCTCAGTGGGCACTTGACCAGGAGGACTAAGCCATGCCTTCATGAACTCTTTCCCACTGAGCACTTAGCCACCTGGCTGGCATTTCTCTTCTCCCAGGAGCTTCCATGACTCTCCTACATATGTATTATGTCGACTTATATGAATATTTTATGCCTAAAGTGCAGCTAAGCCTCAGACTTTGTGGCCCATTATCGACAAGCGAGGTGGGGGCTGGGCGCCACCCTTGGCCCCCTGATAGCGTCTCCTCTAAGTGGAGCCCCCCAGCAGCACTTTGAAGCCCATTAATGGATTGGGATGAGGTAACCTCAGCAGATGGAAAGGGCGAGGAGGGTGGTCATCCTTCATTCTCTGAGGCTGCCTGACGAGGCTTTCCTGCAGCCAGCCAGGTCCGACCCCAGCTCGCTCCACTTGGTTAAGCTGTAGACTGACCACTAGGCCTCTTCTTTGAGAGGAGTTCTGGAAAGCCTTTGGTTCTCTCTTCGTCATGGTGATGCTGCCGTTATTTGCCACTTTCCTGTCAAAGCCAAAATTGAGAGGGATGTGGAAAGGGTGGGCGGAGTTTAAACTTGGCCCTTCCTCCTTCAGGGGAAGTTCAGCAAAATGACAAACCAGATAGGTGGCTGGGT